AAAAAAGAAAAAAAGAAGACTGTGAGATTATTATAATGGTAAGTAGTATTCCGGTCCACTAAGTCGTATACATTTCTTACCAAAACCACAACTTGCACCTTGTTGCAGTAATTATAGTTTGTGGAAAACTTCAGAAGGACCTATTTGCCGAATCTCATCCTGATAGCGTGACGCGTTTTGTACATAGAAAGAAAGAAAAAGTAGCTCTTTTTACGGATCTGGAGCCTATCACACAATGCTTTAAAATGCTAATGTGTATTTTTGAATTTCAGGGATGAAACCGCTGACCTGTCCTTCCATATGAATTGGTTCACCCTCACCGAACTGACCCACTTGAGCCGGCAACGGTACCACAAATCGCGGCATAATTTTTTGCGGTTCCACATAGATTGGTTCTTCGGGCCGACGGTTTTCAATATCCTGAATCTGATTCCACGATTCCTGATGCTGCGTATCCAGAAGCAAAGATTCCGTTGGCTGACATTTGACGGTGCATGAGGTAACTGCTTCACCAAAATCGCTAACTGCTCGACATGAATACATTCCGGAATCTTCGCCGTATACAACTAAGAGATCCAAAGAAACATAGTCCAAATTACGTGCCGGCATGAAACGACTTCCTAAAATATAGTTCACTGAAAGAAAGTTTTTCAAATTCCAGTTCATCCTCGCAACTTGCCATAAAATCGAGTTCGCCAGTCCGGTCTAGCCAATATCCGACAAGAGCCGAAGCCTGGGAAGATTCCGGAGATGTGCCTTTTTGGATAAGTTTTAAAACACAGCACAATACCAATGAAGTACTGCGAATCCGTTTGGCAGAACGATGCTATCAAAGCATTGAATACCAGGATGAATAACTGGGCTGGTCGTATGGCAAGAATGAGGAACAACAGATGAATACACCGAACTACTGAATGCACACACGCAATGCTAAATGAGCAAAGATGCATTTGGACTCTTCGGAATTATACAGATGAAAAAGGTGTGGAGAAACGTGATGATATATCCCCCTCCTCTACTCCGGAGCCATGCAAAAACTAGGAATAGAGTTGTAACAATGCTACTTAGAGCTATTTTAATCTAGTGTTACTTCAGGCTTTAGTTTTAGCTTTAGACCCGAGTTTCTGCAGCACTGGTGCCTGTGCCAATGGAGGTAGGAAGGAGACGAAAGATCCCTCCCCCCCCCCCCCCCCCCCCCCCCCCCCCCCCCCCCCCCCCCCCCCCCCCCCCCCCCCCCC